ATTCCAACAGTATCTACCTGGAGATAGTGTCAGATCTCCCAGGGTGAGGGCTGAATCCCCAAAACTGTCCCTCGACACCAGTTGAAAGTACAGGCTTCCAGAACTTCTGATGAGCAACTTTAAGTTGGGGTTCTCACAACCCTCCCTTTGGATTTGATTAATTTGCAAGAGTAGCTCACAGAACTTAAAGAAACACACTTGCCAAGCTACTATAAAGAATATTGCAAAGAATACAGATGAAGAGATGCGCAGCATGAGGTATGGGGGAAGGGACACAGAGCTTCCATGCCCTCCATATGTGTGCCACCCTCCAGGAACCTCCAACTATTCAGCTACCTGGAAGCTCTCCCAACACTTCTTTGGCCTTTGGGCCTTTTTTTTTTTGAGATGGAGTCTTGCTCTGTTGCCCAGGCTAGAGTGCCATGGTACAATCTCTCCTCACTGCAACCTCCACCTCCTGGGTTCAAGAGATTTCCCTGCCTTAGCTTCTCAAGTATTGGGGATTATAGGTGTGCACCACCACAACAGGCTAATTTTTGTATTTTTAGTAGAGATGGGGTTTCACCATATTGGCCAGGCTGATCTCAAACTTCTGACCTCAAGTGATCCGCCCGCCTCGGCATCCCAAAATGCTGGGATTACAGGTGTGAGCCACCGCGCCCAGCCCTTTGGGCCTGTTAAGGAGACTTCATTGACTGTCCATGAATGATGCACGTCATGTCAAATTGTGATTGGACAAAAAGGCTATGATCGAAACCCAGCAAGGCCTGTCTGTTCAGATTCTTCTTGGTCTCTCCATGCAGCATTCCGTCCTTCAGAGTAGGGGGAGGACCCTCTATGGAATGAAGGTCTTACGACCTGCAACAAGATTAGAGTCCGGCCTTGGGCAAGTGAAAGGAGGGGAGAGGAAGGTTAGAGGGAGGTTTTCTGTTTCCTGAGGTCTGCTTCTGATGCCTAAAGTGCTCCCAGCATTATGACAGAAGACCACAGCGAGGGTTAAGGGAGATAAGCGCTAGGAACCATGGACAAAAACCAACTTGTGTATAATCATAGTATCACACCCATGAAACAGCTCTCCAGGTACTTTGTGTCCACAGACTCTGGAGCTGTCTGGCAGTCCTGCTAATCATTCACCACCTGTGGGTACTTGCTCAGCTCCTTGTGGGCAGCGTCTGGTTTGGAATGGGCAATTCGTATCTTCAAAGTCCTGGGATCAGGATGTTCATGTTTTAATGAACTATATGTAGCCTTGATGTCTGGCCAAGGCGGAGGACTGAACGTCCCAGAAAGGACTGTACGTGGGCTACATGCCCTGCATTCATCCCACATTCAACCTCCCATTGCTGTTGAGTCAGTGCTGCTGTTCTCCCTCCTCTTCTGACCATTCGTGCCCAGCTCTCAGCTGTCAGGAGCAGCTGTGCAAATGAGTGTAGGAGCCGGAATAAGCTCTGCTACTCCCACCTCGTTTGGACCACAGAGCTGAGGTTCAAGAAGCGATATTAAGAGTGACCATTGTGATAGATGCCAGTACTGCCCCCCCTCAACACCAGAAAAGAGTGACCAAATGCAATTACTCTTGAGGCCTGAACACCAGGGCTCCTGGAGGAGCAATAGACTGCCTGCTTCTCCCAGGATAAATCCAAGAACCACGGAGAGTCCCTGGGGTTCTCTTCTCTGTGATTCACTTCCAAAGCATCACTCTCAGATTTTCCCTTTAAATCTTCTTTCTCTGAGCATTCAGGTCTACAGTGCATCCATGAATTTTGATAGTTCACCAAAAGGAGAAAGAGACAGGAGACAAACATGCTCACCTCTGTGTCACATCTATGCCTTTTTATTTTCACTGTAGAAAAAACTGAGTCCAACACTCACTTTTTGTAGATAAGGGCATGACACTCAGGAAATCAAGAGAAAACTAGAACTAGAATCCAGATTCTGACTTCACATTAATGTATTTCCACTTCCTCATGCCGCCTTCTGAAGACTGTCTCTACATCTCACTGGTGACAATGGTCACCTCCAGGTTGTAGGATTACAGATGATTTTTGTTGCTGTTGTTTTTTAGGATGGAGTTTTGCTCTTGTTGCCCAGCCTGGAGTGCAGTGGTGCAGTCTTGGCTCACTGCAATCTCCGCCTCTTGGGTTCAAGCAATTCTGCCTCAGCCTCCCAAGTAGCTGGGATTACCAGCATGGGCCACCACGTCCAGCTAATTTTGTTTTTTGTTTTGTTTTGTTTTGTTCTGTTTTTTTAGATGTAGTCTCGCTCTGTTGCCCAGGCTGGAGTGCAGTGGTATGATCTCGGCTCACTGCAGCCTCCTCCTCCTGGGTTCAAGCAATTCTCCTGCCTCAGATTCCTGAGTAGCTGGGACTACAGGCGCACGCCACCACGCCCAGCTAATTTTTGTATTTTTAGTAGAGACAGGGTTTCACCATGTTGGCCAGGATGGTCTTGATCTCTTGACCTCAGGATCCGCCCGCCTTGGCCTCCCAAAGTGCTGGGATTACAGGTGTGAGCCACCGCGCCTGGCCACTAATTTTGTATTTTTAGTAGTCACAGGGTTTCACCATGTTGGTCAGGGCTGGTCTTGAACTCCTGACTTCAAGGGATCCACCTGCCTTGGCCTCCCAAAGTGCTGGGATTACAGTCCTGAGCCAACGCGCCTGGGCTTACAGATAATTTTTCATGTTCTTTTTGCTTATATGATTTATGTTATACCAAAGGGATGTGGAAGGAAGGAAGGATGGGAGGAAGGGAGGGAGGGAGGGAGGGAGGGAGGGAGGGAGGGGAGGAGAGGGGAAGGGAGGGAGGGGAGTGGGGAAAGGAGGGAAAAAAGCCAGGCACAGTGGCTCACACCTGTAATCCCAGCACTTTGGGAGGCAAAGCAGGAGGATCACTTGAGCCCAGGAGTTCAAGACCAACCTGGGCAACATAGTAAGAATCTGTCTTTAACAAGAAAAAAGAAAAAAAAATTACCTGATTCTTCTACAATGAATGTATATTAATTGTGTAAGAACACCTAAAAATTGAAATTAAATAAGCAAAGTAAATTCCTTCAGAAAGCAGAATTAGGTTTTGTTTTTCTAGCCTACCTTCACACTGGACTTCCCAGCCACACCAAATCTCACAACTGCAAGAAGTATGAATTATTGCCATGCTCAGTGGCAGGGAGGGATAGCTAATTTTTCTGGCATGAAGTGGACTTGAGAAAGTGTAAGTGAGGGGTTTGGATGGGAGACGGGGCTCAGAGGCAGCACCATGATGTGTGTGTAAACCCTCCCCCTCCCCACTGGGGGCGCCATCAGCACGAAGGTGCTGTCTCTGCTTTACAGCATTGCTTGTAGTGTGAGCACGGATGATTACGCAGAGGACCGAGTCAGCCGGGTTCATCATCTGCGATGAACTTCCCCTCCCCTCAGCACACCTGTCACCCTCAGAGAGACTGCTGCTCCGGGTCCCTCTGCAATAAACCCAGAACCACTTGTGTGCCCGGGGATGCTTCACATTTCCTGTAACTTGTTCTCTACTATCCCTGTTTCTCAGGCTCAGAGGGCTGTTACCCAATACCTAGAACGCTGTCTTCCTAGGTGCATTAGACACTCAAGTCATCACTGAGAAAGGAAGCTGGCGACTATTTAGCATTAAAATATCAGTGGCCAATACCAGCTCACTGGGGTAATTCCTCTCAATGAATCTCCATTTTCAGGCTTCTTCCTTTCTTGTATCAGATAGGGATGGTTGGTAGAAGCAGAGCTATGAGATAGGGATAGCTGATAGAAACAGACCTTAAACATTTGTGGGGTCTGGTGACAACATCTAGGGAAAGCTGTTGCCTCTCTGCTGTATTGGGGACCTCAAGTCATTTCAGGTTGAGGTGGCAGCAGTCAGCAAGAACCATATTCTATGAAAAAGGGAAGAGCAAAGAGAAACCAAAACCTACCAGGACAAACTGGAGCCCGTGTCTTCCTCTCCCTCTCTCATAACTCAATGGCAGGCAACCCGCAGAAGCAACTGGCACCCTCCACACCTCGGAGCAGCTCTAGGCCTGGCTGTTGCTCATCTAGGAGGGAAACCCACAGATCAGTGACACAAATGCATGAGCTACTGCGGTACCTGGCACCCTACGCCTTCAGAGTATTCTTAGGTTGCTGCTTCACTTCCACCTTCAGATTCTCATGTAAATTCCACCAGTAGCCAAACCTACTTTGGAACCACATTGGGAAGGAAATTCTGGGAAAGGTGGTTGAAGCTTAGCTACGCGGACACTACTACAAAATCACCACATCCTCTAAAATCAATACCCAGAGGTGGCTTTTCAGAGTCATCTTCTGGCCAGTAGTCATTTTGGAGTGGTGGTAGTTGGGGAAATGTAAGCGGGTAATGGGGAGATGCTGAAGGAGGCTTTCTTGGAGGTCTTCAAGATGGGTCTATCACAGATAAGTAGAAAAGCCAGACAAGTGCTAAATATATTATATACCCCAACGTTCAGAAGTGTGTATCCACAAAGAAAACGTTTGACCTCACAACGGGACCAAAATGATGTCTGAGAAGTGCTGAAGCATAATCAGGTGTTAATGAGTGTCCAGGTTTTGCTGGATACCGTCATGGCAACGCACCCCATTTTCCTCTCCTTTTCTCCTCTGAGCTCTGGGCAGGACAGGAGAAAGGAAGCCATGGGATATAGGGACGGGTATAACCAGAACCACCTCAAGGGCTGTAAAAGGGTCCCCTGAAAGCCCATTCACCAACTTTGCCTTCAGAGTGTAAGGTGAGTTCGTTCCCAATGTACCAGAATGGAATGGAACAACAGGCCATATTCTACCGAATGTGTAGGCTTGTGTTGAGAAACACTTCCTCTCTGTGGGGAAGCAGTGGGTGCAGTGAGATGATAAAACAGGTGGAAGGCAGGTCTTTCCAAAGCCCAGAACCTGAAGTGGCTGCATAAAGTGAGGCTGTGCCTGAGTTTCGCACGTCTCTCCTTCAGCGGACAGATCGATGGTTCCATGGGAACCTTTATTGGTCATGTGTATCCAGGGCTGTTTCTGTTCTTACATGGACTATATCAGGCAGTAGTAATCTCCAAAGCTCTAACATTCAGTGACTCTCTCCTGTATCCTTCATCCCCTCCCAGGAATAAGGGAAGATGTGCCAGGCTGTGGAAAATATCCTATGGAGGTCTGTTGAAGATGGTGACTGGTTGCCTCTTGACAGTTTATGAGGTCAGCTGCATTAAAGGAGGGTTGATATTGATGAACAGGGAACTGCCACCAAGGTTCATGTACCCCAAAGAGTGGCAGCACCTCACCATGTTCATCCTCCTCACTCTCAACGGCTGTGTGGACTTTGTGAGCAAGAACGTGCTGCCTCAGAGGCGTGTGGGCCTAGAAAAAGGTGCCCTGGTCCTGATCATCTACGAGCTCCTGCTGCTGATGGTGTCACACGTTAAAGAGTCAGAAGGGGTGGAGCTGCACGTGCACTCTCTGCTCATCCTGGTGGTGTTCCTGCTGTTGCTGGTGTTCACTGCAGAGCTGTGGGCTCCCAACATGTGTCATCTCCAGCTGATGGAGACCTTTCTGATCCTCCTCATGGGCTCCTGGCTGATGCAGGCAGGCTTTATTCTATACAGACCGGTCTCTGGCTACCCATGGCAGGACGATGACATCAGTGACATCATGTTTGTCACCACCTTCTTCTGCTGGCATGTGATGATCGATGCCTCGTGCCTGTTGGGAATCTATGGCTTCTCTTCCTTTTGGCATCATTGTTACACTCCCAGCTTGAAGCTGACGGGGCCCAAGGAAGCTCCGTATTACGCAAGCCCTCCAGGACCCCTCTACGAGTTGCTGCAGGAAGTGGAGCAGTCAGAGAAAGAGGACCAGGTCCTCCTGTTTTCAAAGAGCTCCCCCGAGACAGAGTCTACAGTGGCTGGCACGTCGTCCACCTCGCCTTCCTCCTGTGGGCTCCTCAGCCACGAGCATGGCACCCTCCTTGGTGAAAATAATGGCCTTGAAGGCTAGCAGTTGGTCCCGTCTGCTGATCCATTTTCTTTTCTTTTCCTTTTGAGACAGAGTCTCGCTCTGTTGCCCAAAGTGGAGTGCAGTGGCACAGTCTCGGCTCACTGCAACCTCTGCCTCCTGGGTTCAAGCGATTTTCTGCGTCAGCCTCCGGAGTAGCTGAGATTACAGGTGTCTGCCACCATGCCCGTGTTGGTGCATTTTCTATCCCTGAGACTGTCATTACTGAGAAGACATGGAGAGAGAGATTGAGAGAGACGCTAATGAGATTTGGGGGAGGGAGGGAAAAGGACCAGGAGAACAAATTAGTGTGCAAGAAAAGCCACTGGGGGAAGAGACTGCAGCAAAAGGAATGAAGGGCTGTGACAGGAGGAGAACAGGGTCTAGTAGTTATGCTGTCACTAGTGGCTTTGTCAGCCAGGAGGGATTGCCTCTAACCTGAGGGAATGAAGACTTCTCATAGCTCAAAACTGGAACTGTTCAAGTCCCATCTTGATAAAGAAAAGTGGGTACTTTCTGTGCTCACCAAAGCGGTGCCCCCATGTGGAAGTGGCACAACAGAATTTGTAATTAATTCCTACAGGCTGAAATTGTGCTCATTTTGCCTCCTCCTCTCCCCCAGCTTTCAAGAATTGGCTTCATTTCAAATTTTACACACAGAGTGAGACTTTTAAAATACCTTAATAACATTTCAAATTTCCATAGATCCAATTTTTATAGAATTCAAATGCTGTAGCATTTTTATAGAATTCAAATGCTTGGTACTTTCCTGACTTCTCATTCTGTGACTCTCACTGTAGCCCAGACTTTCCTGTTTCACCATGACCGCCTTGCACATGCAATTCTTGGGTCTTTGCGAATTTCTTTCCTTTGTGTATCACAACCATCCAACAGTCACATATTTACCATGTTCTTAGATTCCTGGAATAAAACTACACCCACCCCCCACCACACCGAGTATCCCCAAGTCAGCCTTCTCCAAGAACTCTTATTGAGTCCCTTGTTTTGGAACTCTTAGGCACTTACATTTAATCTGCCCTGTTATTTTGCTCATACAGGTGACATACTTTTTTATACTACCACTGAAATCATTTTCCTTCAGGAAGTTTTCCCTCACGCACTAAAGTACAGGCTTCTAAAGGGAAAAGACTTTGCCTTATCCAAGTTACAAAATTTCCTGTGTATACCCCAGCTATGGATCATGGTTGATGTTCAATAAAGGCTTCATTGCTTCCAGTCTTCCCAATCCTGTTTCTTCTAAATGTGCTGCTGGACAGGGAGGAGGTTTTGTAAACCTCTCTGGGAGACAACAGTCCTGAACCCTGAGTCATTACCTTAGCAATGGACCCACTCTCTTCCTTGTTTTGGGGTATAATAAAATCCAGTAACTTGTTTCTGTAGTTGACTCTGTTATTGTTCTGTATTCCTCACGAATGTTTCTATAAGGAATCTCCAGAAAACAGAGACTCCAGCAGGATGGCTTGCCCAAGTCCCACAGCTGGTATGAGGCAAGACAGGAACGTAAGTGCAGGAGTGTCTGATGCAACCGTGACTGTGTCCTCTGGGACAATGACTTTGCTAATGGCAATGGAGAAGGAAGTTATCTCAAAATGAAAGAAATAAAATTGTGAAATGAAGAAAGAAAGATGGCTGGGCTGTGTGGCTTACAGCTATAATCCCAGCACTTTTCGAGGCCAAGGTGGCTGGATCCCTTGAGGTAAGGAGTTTGAGACCAGCTTGGCCAACATGGTAAAACCCTGTCTCTACTAAAAATACAAAAATTGGCCAGGGATGGTGGCGTACACCTGTAATTTCAGGTCCTCAGGACGCTGAGGCAGGAGAATCACTTGAACCTGGGAGGTAGAGGCTGCAGTGAGCTGAGACTGTACCACTGTACTGTAGTCTGTGTAACAGAGCAAGACTATGTTGAGAGAGAGAGAGAGAGAGAGAGAGAGAGAGAGAGAGAGAGAGAGAGAGTGGGGGGTGAAGTCAGCCAGCCAGAAAGCCCACGTAAAGCAAACAGCAGAGTGTAAACAGCCTAGACCTCTCTTAGGAGAGTGTTTATGTAACACTTTCTGTTCCCTGCCCCGACCCCCAGTCTCCCCTGGGGGGTGAGAATCTGGCAGACTCTCAACTTCTGGCTGGATGTTATATTTTGGGGCTCAGATCCCAAGTGAGGGCTGGGGATAAAACCTGTTTTTGACCAAGGCTTCTAACGTTTGCCGTTTCCCCTTTACTCTTGGTTCCTAGACTCTTTTCAATCACCTTTCTCCGGGAGCCTTCCTTTTCTCTTTACCTGTCTTACACATTAACCGGAGGTGATGAAAAAGCACAAACACTTAGCTGCCTGTTTCCCGTCAGGAGGCCTAATTCCATAACAATAAGCCTCTGGTAATCAAGTGATACCCCCCTCAAATATTCAGGGTAGGCAATAAGCCTGCCTGTTATTAACTTACTAAATTTACGATGTAACAGAAAGGTCCTCCCCCTAAAGCCTACTCAAGAAAAAAAACACGACACTCAAGCTTTGGGGGAGAAGTCTGTCATTCTCACAAAATTCCACCAGAGGGCGCCACGTTCACACCACCCTGGCCAAACCTCTGCCTCTCCAACCCCACTAAGCGAGTCTCCCCTGAACGGCTTTAAAAGAAGTGAGAGACGAGGACAGGGAAAATGCAGAACCAGAGTAAGAATTGCCCAAGCATCCAGAAAACATACCCTAGACTGTTTGTTTCCCAGTAACATTTGGCAAGTGAATGTGAAATAAACAGAGATCCAAATTAACTAACCGGGTGGGAGGGGCGGGAGGAAGCGCTGGGGACCCCGTTGAGGATTTCTTTGGAAACGGTATCAACTAATGCACATACTCCGATCTAAATAGTTTTTTGATTAGAATGTTAAGTTCCCTAAATTTTTAATTCGCTTCAATAATGTTCTAATCAATCTACAGAAGAAAGATGTGTATGGTGTCAATCGAGAATAAAGGACAAAATGTATCTACAAAAACCCCAGATTCACAAAACAATAAAACTACAGGCAGATTAGCAGAGGTACAAAATGATCTCTGAAGAGTCCTTCAAAGAGAATCTGCCCTACAGTATTTGTTTTGTTTTGTTTTGTTTTTCAGTAATCTAGTTACTCACAAAGAAAATACATCCCGAGTGTCTGTTAGACAGAAGTCGCTGGGTAAAGCCTACCCAGGATGGAGAAGTGAATGGCTGGTCCCTGTCCTCTGCGCCTCCCTCAGTGAGGACGGTAGGAAGTTCAGGATTTTAGAGATGGTGGCCCAGGAACACATCACCCACAGACCAAAGTACGAAAGGAAGGGGAACAGAAAAAGAACAGCACCTTGAAAGCACATTGCTCTAAAATACTGCCCTAATGTGACTTCATCAAGTTACTACGAGTTATCTAGGCCTCAGTTCCTCATCTTTAAGATAGAATGATGTGAAGATCTCATTCTAGAATGGTATGGCTTTAATTTTCTCAACAGGACAGATCTCCCCATCTTGTTAACTAAGATGGGCTTGATTCTTCCCAACTTCCCAAGGAGTTTCCTGTTAGAGACATGACTCAGGGTAGAGCTCAAACAGACCCAAACCTTCCGTCCTCACAGGCAGTTTGGGAATTGAAGTGCTCCTTCTATTTGACTGAGTTCAGCAGGCATTCAACAAAACTCAAATCAGGCTAGAGATATGGCTGAGAACTTCCAATTTCTTGTCTTGAACCAAAAAATATCAAACGATCAAAGACTATAAAGAACAATTCCTCCATTCTGAGTGCTAGTGATTGAACTGAAGTACAATGTAGTCTTTCCTTCTCTGATTGTATAAAGTGAAATTTGAAAGTTTGGCCAACTACAGCTTCTCCCTAAACTATGGTTTAAGAATAATGCTATCAAATTCCGGAGCTGTTTCTTTTCTTCTTCATTTTTATTATAACTGTTTTGATTTGGTTTAAGATTCTACTATGGTCCATTCTTTTGGAAAGAACTGGCGTTGGTTTATTACATAATAATAAGTTTTAAAAGAATATTTTACAATTCTGGGTTGGGTTTCCAGGGTGTTCCCCAACCCCGGGTCTCAATTGTGTCTCTTTAACATGATTTAAAGGTCGCATTGAATGTCTGTTGAAATCATTCATACACAGGGAAAATCCATTTCCTAAACAGGAAGAGTTTGGGCCATTGTGAGCCCTACCCTAAATTTTGTGTCTAATGAGTATAAGGGAATCATACAGGCCCTGAGAAGGCACTCCAATCGCCGGGTTAAGGACTTCACGCTTGCAGAGTGAGAATGGACCCTTTAAAAGACAGAGAAAGGGCCAGGTGCAGTGGCTGACACCCGCAATCCCAACACTTTGGGAGGCTGAGGCAGGTGGATCACAAGGTCAGGAGTTTGAGACCAGCCTGGCCAATATGGTAAAAACCCCATCTCTACCAAAAATACAAAAAAATCAGATGCACGTGGTGGTGCATGCCTGTGATCCCAGCTATTTAGGAGGTTGAGACAGGAGAATTGCTTGAACCCGAGAGGCAGAGGTTGCAGTGAGCTGAGACTGAGCTACTATACTGGAGCCTGGGCAACAGAGTGAGACTCCATCTCAAAAGAAAAAAAAAAGAGAGAGAGAGAGAAAGAAGTTGTGAGAACTCACAGGTAAAGCCCGGCTTTCCAAGTAGTTTCCTAATAGAGTTAAGATTTGGGATAGAGCAAAGCCCTAATACAAAGCCTTTGTTTCAGGCAACAGAACAACATTGAAGAAATACTTTTAATCTTGGGCTATTTCTGCAGATTTTGAACAAAATCTTTCCCTGTAATATTGCTCTCCCACTCCACCCACCCCTTGGACATGGCAATTCTACCCTAAGAGAGAAAAACATGACTTCAAAGCACATGCAATGGAACCCCTTGTCAGCTTCCATACGGTGTGTACCGAGAAACAGAACAGTTCATGGGTTCAAGCATTCTAATGCTCTTTTTATGGAGGAGGTGAAGAATGGGGGC